CTCCGTCTCAAAAAAAAAAAAAAAAGAGTAATAGGGTCTACTCTTGCTCATGTTGGTTTTGAACCTGTGAGCTCAGGGCAATCCACCTGCCTCGGCCTCCCAGAGTGCTAGGATTACAGGTGTGAGCCACCGTGCCCGGCCTCTCCCTGCTCTTTATATGTCCTTTATCCATATCATAGGGGAAGCCATGCAATTACATGTTAGTTTAGTTATTAGGAATGTCAAAGCACATGCCTCAGTGCACAGAGATAATTATCAGTTGGGGTGGGGATTTGTACCTCCAGAGCCCAGCTCTGGAGTCTGTATCTTTAATCACTTACCTTTTGTTGTTGTTGTTGTTGTTGTTGTTTGAGACAGAGTCTTACTCTGTTGCCCAGGATAGAGTGACATTGTCTCTGCCTAGCTCACAGCAACCTCAAACTCCTGGGTTCAAGAATTCCTCCTGCTTTAGCCTCCCAAGTAGCTGGGACTACAGGTGCCCATCACCATGCCTGGCTAATTTTTTCTATTTTTAGTGGTGAAGGGGGTCTCAGTCTTGCTCAGGTTGGTCTCCAACTCCTGAACTCAAGTGATCCTCCTGTGTTGGCTGCCCAGAGTGGGAAAGCCTTCAGCTATAGCTCTAACCTTGTCAAGCACCAGATAGTTCACACCATAAAAAGGCCTAATGAATGCAACCAGCGTGTGAAAGCTCTATCCTCAGTCAGCACCAGAGTTCACACTGGAGAAAAGCCTTATGAATGCAACACATGTGAAAAAGTCTTCCCCTACTGTTCTAACTTTTCTAAGCACCAGAAAATCACAGTGGAAAAGAGGCTTCTAAATGCAGTGGACACAGGAATGCCTTCAGCCAAAGCTCCAGCCTCATTCAGCACCAGAAAGGTCACACTAGAGAAAGGCCTTAGGGTTGTGATCAATGTGGGAAAACACTTAACTGGCACCTTCTTGTTTACCACAATAGGATTCATTCATGAGAAAACTTCTGTGAGAAGTTTCAGAAGGAAACCATCAGTCAAAAATTGAAATTTGTGCATCTTTTTGGTTGTAGCCATCATTGTTGTTTGGTAGGCCCGGGCTGGGGATTTGAACCCGCCACCTTAGGTGTATGTGGCTGGCACCTTAGCAGCTTGAGCCACAGGCACCGAGCTGAAATTTATGCATCGTAGCCACCTCTCTAGGGGAAGATTATCTGTGAGTGCCAAATTTGTGGGACAAATTCAGGAGCTATGAACCTGTCCAGGCCCTTGTCAGAGTATGCCACTGCCAGACGCCATCTCACCTCTACTGGTTGGCAGGTCTCCATAGTGTGCACCTGGCATACTCAGGGACAGATCTCTGTGTTCTCCCTCTTGTTCCCTGGAGAGAACCATGAGTGATGAGATCCCACTAGGGTCATGGTTCAGGCATTGTCCTGACCTAGTTCTCTCCAACAGGATCTGGAGTCTGCTGCAGACATGCAGAGATTTTCCTTTTTGGTCTTTGTTGAGTCTACAGGGGACACTTATAATGGATTTGACTGGTCTCCAAATACCCAACCCTGGACCCTACCTCCACAGTGTGTGATAATAAATGCCTTATTATTCAAGCTATATTTTATTTTTATTATTTTATTTTATTTTTTTGAGGCAGAGTCTCACTACATCACCCTGGGTTGAGTTCCATGGTGTCACAGCTTACAGCAACCTCAAACTCTTAGGCTTAAGTGATTCTTTTGCCTCAGACTCCCAAGTAGCTGAGACTACAGGCTCCCACCACAACGCTCAGCTATTTTTTTTTTGTTGTAGTTGTCATTGTTTGACAGGCCCAGGCTGGATTCAAACCCACCAGCTCCTGTGTATGTGGCTGGTGCCCTTAGCTGCTGAGCTACAGGTGTCAAGCTTCAAGCCATATTTTAATCTTGAAATGCGCATTGTGTGTGGGGAGAGAGTGAAAAGAAAATTGGGTTCTGATGATGCAAAGAGGAGAAAGAACTTTTATGGGAGGCAGGTACTAACTTTGTAGCTCAGAGTACACACAGCAGGACAGCAAGGAACAGTCCAGTTTAACCTCATTTCTCTTGTGGCCCAAGAGCTGCCAGAGCCCAGCTCATGCCCAGACAATACAGACTAAAGGTCTCCATGGTCCATTGATGTGTCTTAGGTGCCAGGACTTTCTGTTGGGCCCAGAACTTTGGAAATTAGGTATTTGATATAGCAATCTTCAGTACATCCTAGGGCAGCTGTGGTTCCAGGAATATATTCCCCAGCAGCCTTGAGGGGCCACTGTTTCCTGGCACCTGCCCATGAATAAGACCCTAGAGTTTGGCTTCTGTAGGCATCGATCACTGGCCCGAAGATTTGTAGTGGCCACACAGGAACCATAAGTGGATACAGAAACACCAGGTTTAAGGGCAGGGAGTGATGATGACTGTGACAGAAGGGAAATATGCCTGGTGATGTCCTGAGGCAGATCATACTGGCTGAAAAGAGCTGGTTATGTTCAACTCCACATGCAGTGTCTTTACATGGGTAGCTTGAAATCAGCCACAGTGGGGGAATTATACCACAAAAAAAATGGAAACAGAAGCTTTATGGAGGAAAAAGTATGATTTTGCATGTTTGCCAAGTTTGCTCTGACAGTGGCATGCATAGGAAAGACTCAGTTCTGTGGCTCCAGAAAAGTCCTGCATACCCCTGCCTTTCACAGCCACATTCTCTAGAATATGTTCTCCATGCCCCATCAGAATGGGCACAACTAGCATAAGCTTGTCACTTCCAGGGGAAACAATCTAGAAGTTTTGAAGATTCCTGTAGTGTCCCTAGGCTATTCACTTCAAGGCCATCGCTACATAGGCAGGAACCCAAGGACTGTACAAGGGTAGATCCTGTAATCCAGAGAAGTGACTTTTGTGGGTCAGCCAGGGTTCCTGCTTTCTGTGTGGCAGCCACGGCCTTAGATTTTGCTGATATTTGCTGCCACAGAAGCAGAGCTATTTCAGGGCATGGGGAACAGAGATGGTGGAGTCATCATATAGTTGCCCCATTTTCTGGTTTTCTGAGAGGACTGAAATGCATATTTTTATGTGGAGGCTTTTGATTTCATAAGTGTTGAAAAGAATTTCCCAGAAGTAATTTTATACAGAGTTGGATCACAAGAACTACAGGCATAAAGTATATACCTGTGTCCCAGGGTCAACAGTGTGACTCTCTAATAGGAGGCAGACCAGGTTGGAGGGAGCCCAGAGGTCCCAGATATGATGTTCCCTTTGTCCCATAGCATTTGGCCCATAATAGGTAGTAGGACCAGTGGCATTGCTTTTCCCACTGTATCCAGAATAACTCTCTTCTGCTTAGTCACCTGAAACTGGGAGAGAAGCAGACCATGTGACGGATAGCACCGATTCAGGCCTACAGTCAGTCAGGCATGTGCCAAGTCAGCCAATGTTCTCTCCAGCATCCTGAGCAATCAGGCCAGCTCCTGGATTTGGGTCATCCCTTCTGAGAGTGACAGCTGTCTTCTGGCAACATGGGAAGGCTGCTTTGGATCAGAGTTAAAATCGAGCTAAGTCATGTGGGCCTCAGGCCTCCAAACAAGGTGAAGAAGACATTAATCACAGAGTTTCATCCCACCTCAGCATGGGTAGACCTTGTGTAATGACCCTTGCCCCATTGGGAAAGAGTTCTTGACATGGGGCTTGGATATATGCCAGAAGAGGCTTTCATGGTTCTGAGCATATATAGAGTGGGGTTGCCAATATCCATCTTGACCCTATGGGGATGCCTGCCTATGAACCACCACAGAGAAAGAGAGCATTGAGTGACAGAAGTAGCCCTTTTGACATCATTTTAGCCCCAGGTCCAAGTAGTGCCTGAAGCCAAATGCCAAGTGGATGTTTCATGTACTAATAAGCAATGATTTTTGTTGAAGCTACCTACAGTGGGGTTTTCTGTTACCTGTTCTCTATCTGTAGTGGTGCCCACAATATCAGCCAGTCCTTCACCTACTGGGTATGCAGGGACCCAAAGCAGAGCTCCCCAAAGGCCAACACAGAATTTTTGACCAGTGCCAAAGACTGGGATAAATGATACATACTGTAACAATTCTGGAGGCTCAGACAGCAGGAGCAGCAAATAAGCTGATAATACATCCAAGCCCAAGCTGACTCTCTCTCTCTCTCTCTCTCTCTCTTTTTTTTTTTTTTAAAGATGGGGTCTCCCTCTTGCTTAGGCTGATCTCAAATTCCTGAGCTCAAACAATCCACCTGCCTCAGCCTCCCAAAATGCTAGGATTACGAGTGTGAGCCACCACCCCCGGCCTCCAAGCTGCCTCCTTTTTCCCTTCCCTGTATCTCCTAACCCCATGGCATATGCAATGGCATATAAAATGTAACCTGAGCCCATCTTACTTCTTACAGCCCAGGCCTCCCTTTTAGCAGTGAAGTTGTCACACATAGTGCCATCGTAATAAAAGGTAAAGTCCTCATCCTAGTTTGTGGGGCCAGCATGACGTGGTTCCTCAGACACAACACCTCATTTCTGCATCTGCCTTGTTGTTTCCTCTAGTTGGGACACTCTGCAGATCCATTCTTCACTTTGTCATGTCTCGAGTATTGTTTCTTTAAGAGCTCTGTTAGAAATACCACTATTTGGAATTATCCTGGTATTTTTCCTGCTTATATGTCAAATCTCTGTGTTTTCCATTAGATGGAGATCAGTTGTAGGTGAAGACCATGCCTGTTATATAGCCCCATAGCTCTGTTTACCCTAGGTCCCACAAAAAGCCTGACATATCGATACCATAGGAGCTCAGGAGATACCATAGGAGCTATTCCACAGGACCTGTGCCAGAGCCCAGCTCGTGCCCACAGTTATACCTGATGCTTTTGCAGCATATGTGAGAAGGAAAAGCATGACAGAAAAAGTAACAGTGAGCATCTTCCCTTAGGGGAAGCATTCTTAATCCCCATCATATCTCATATTGTGTCCTCTTGTACTTCAGCAAGGAAACTGAATCTTTTAGTTCAGTTATTTAACCAGTGCCATGGTGCAACTATTGTGTGCTGGGGACTGGGTTAGACAGCAGTGAACAAAATACACAGGTGCCCTCTTATTCTAATTGAAAAATTTTAAAAGGTGGCCAGAGGCAGTGGCTCATACCTGTAATCCTACAACTCTGGGAGGCCAAGGCAGATGGACTGCTTGAACTCAGTTCAAGACCAGCCTGAGCAAGAGCAAGACCCGTCTCTACCAAAAACAGAAAATGTAGCTGGGCTGGTGCTGTGCTTCTGTAGTCCCAGCTACTCAGGAAGCTGAGGCAGGAGGATCGCTTGAGCCCAAGAGTTTGAGGTTGCTGTCAGCTATTACCCCATGGCACTTTACCTAGGGCGACAGAGTGAGACTGCCTCAAAAAAAATTAAAAAAGGAAATCATACAAATATAAACTGGTAACCTGCTTTCAGCAAAGATGGAGTGTGAAGGACCAGATCTACCTTCAACTGAAACAATGAGATACCAGGCACGAGATACGAGGGAGTGATTTTCAAACCCTGGGACAACAGACAGAATAGACCAATGACTCACATGACCTGAGAAACAAAAGGAAGCGGGCACGGAGCACGGCGCGGAGCCTTCGGTGTAATGCAGTTCGCGCTGCGGGAGCAGAGACGCGGGAAGCGCCTTAACTCATCATTTTGGCAACGACCCAGCGGCACAGAGACTGGCTCAGGGTATTAGCGTTATAGTCGGTGATCCGCCGGGTTCTGACCCGGACGGCGCCGCGCGGCGGCAATGCATATGCCGTGACCGTCGCTGGCGCTTTTGCTGTTCCTGGCCGGGAGGGGGAGGTTCCGATCCCGCACCTTCTCTTGAGCTGTGACCTTTGGCTGCTGGATCTGCCTCTCTGAGCTTTGGTTTTCCCAAAGGTGGAACCAGCGCCACGCGTCTCCGGACCTCCGCCCTCAGCCTTAGTCTCTGGGGCACGGAGCGGCTCCCTGGTCCTCATGCCCTGAGCGGACCCGCCGCCAGCGTTCGCGCCGCCTTAAAATGATTGATTTTGAATCACTTAATTCTGTACAATTTTATCACTAAACCTCTATGATGAACTACCAAGAACTAGTAATGGGGTTGGGCGCGGCCCGCGGGGCTCACCCCGGCGCTGCCTTTCATGGCCCCGCCCAGCCCACGGGTTCCTGGGCCCGCAGCGTCGCCCATGGGTCCGGCGCAGGTCAGTGGAAGGCATCCCAGCCCCGACCCCCTGGGAGCCCAGTCTTCATTATCCTGAAGCCCCGATTGGGTGGGTGGTTGTCCGGGGGCCCCAGCATCCTGAATCCAGGCTGGGGGTTATGTAGAAGAATCCCCATTTCTGGAATCCTATGGAATGAGATCTGGAAGGCTGTACCAGCTTGTTTAAATTCTTTGGATGTGATGAAATCCAAGTATTCAGGGAACTGCGTATCTCCATTTAGTCTGGTGGAAACAGAGAGCAGGGAGGCTCGAGTCAGTCCTGGAAGGGCAGGCTGAGGAGCTGGGCCTCTATTCTGACGGTAGTAGGGGGCAGGCAAGGTTTGTAGCAGGGGAAGGAGGTCCTCTGACTCCCGTGTTAACAGGTACAGTGTGGATGTCTAGTGGAGAACAGACTTGGGGGATGGTGAGGGTGGAAGCAGGAAAACCAGAAGGTGTGACAGCAGTAGTCCAGATGTATGCATTTGGTGGCTGGACAAAGGAGTGCCTTTGAATATCCAATGTAGGGCAATAACAGAAAGTGAGATGTCAAAGCTGACCCTAGATATTTTTGGATGCGGAAGTTGGATTTGAGGAGGGAAATAAAGACTTAGGTTTTGGCCATGTTGTATTTAAGCTATGCCAGAGACTGCCAAATGGAGGTGCCAAGTGGGCCACTTAGACATGCGATTATGCCAAGTCCAGGCTGGTGACATCCAAGGGTGGAGGTTTGTGTGTGGACACTGCACACAGCTGTGGGTTGGCTTTAAGATAGTAACCAAGCCTCCTGAACAGAAAGTAGACCTAGGATAAAAATGAAGTATAGGCTGGGCACAGTGGCTCATGCCTGTAATCCCAGCACTTTGGGAGCCTGGAGCAGGGAGTTTACTTGAGCCCAAGAATTCAAGACCAGCCTGTGCAACACAGTCAGACCCTGTGTCTACAAATATTGAAAAATTAACTGGGTATAGTGGTGCATGCCTGTAGTCCTAGGCACAGGCTAAGGCAGGAGGATCCCTTGAGCCCAGGAGTTTGAGGCTGCAGTGAGCTATGATCGCATCACTGTGCTCCAGCCTAGGTGACAAAGTAAGACTCTTTTTTATTTATTTATTTATTTATTTTTGAGGCAGAGTCTTACTGTGTCACCCTGGGTAAAGCAGCATGGCATGACAGCTCTCAGCAACCTCAAACTCTTGGGCTTAAACAATTCTCTTGCCTCAGCCTTCCAAATAGTTGGAACCACAGGCATCCACCACAATGCCCACCTATTTTTTGGTTGTAGTTATTGTTGTTTGGCAGGCCTGGGCTGGGTTCAAACTCACCAGCTCCAGAGTATGTGGCTGGTGCCCTAGCCGCTGAGCTACAGGTGCCGAGCCCAGAGTGAGACTCTTTAAAAAAAGAAAGAAAAAAGATGAAGAAGTATAGAAGCGACAGGTAAGATGAGAGTGGACACTTGGGGTTAAGTTGATTTATTTCTCTATAGCTCACCAGGTTTTTGTGGCCTGCCTTCTTAGGGCCTGGGGGTTTTGTCAAGCAATAGAGTAGCAGGATAAAAAGGTCAGCCCAAACTGAGTCCCCATCCTAAAGTGGGGGCTGGTGGGTCTGGGATTTGAGTTTTAGGAAAAGTGAGGATAGCTTTGGTGAGAAGATAACATATACAAAGGCAGAGGTAGCAAAGGGTAGAGATAGTTGAGATGTGCTTACAGTTCTGGCCAGCTGAGGGTTAAAAGAAACATTGACTTGAAGGGTAGTGGCTGCCGCTGACAGTGGGGTTTTAGAGATCTCTAGTAGGCCTGAGCCAGAACTAGATCCTGGTTGCCTTTGTCAGGTATGTGCATAGTGAGATATGGGGATGCTAGGGAGATGCCTATGGTGTAAACAGGGAGAGGGGTGATTTGTGGTGGTGGGGAGGGGTGGAGATATAAGGACAGTATGATCTGAACAGTGACATGGACAAGGTGAGGAAATGTGATCCAGGGCCTCGGGTCTGGGTCCTGGAGACTTAATGCAAAAAAGAGAGCCCAAAATGTTTGGGAGTTATGATCTGGGAGATAGTGGGGAACTGGCCAGCAAGAGGAAGGAGACAGCATCCATCTGTCCCCTGTCTGTTGTTCCTCTGGGTTGGGTTGGCCTGGGTGAAGTAACAGGTGGAACTATGATGACAGTGGGGCACCAGTGGTTTTAGGGCTTGTCCTTTTAGGTGAGCCCAGAAGAAGAAGATGAGCTGAGGGTGGGTGAGGAGGGTAGACTGAGAGGATCCTGAGAAGAAGAGATGTCATTAGTAGATGTGGCAGGACTCTGAATCACTTGACCATTATTTTGTTTTTTAGCCTACCTTTTGGCCTACTGGCTCAGCTATCCCATCATTGCAGCACCTTGTGACATTTGAAGATATGGCTATATACTTCTCCCAAGAAGTGGGGACTCCTTGATGTAACCCAGAGGCACCTGTACCACAGTGTGATGCTAGAGAACTTTGAGCTCATGACCTCTCTTGGTAAGGCCCCATTCTCTGCCCTAGCATGGTGGTGATGAGCTTCTCCCCTATACCTTTTCCTCATAGAAAATTTTGTTCACCCCAAAGCCAGATCATGGATACGGCTTCCTTCCCAAGTTTCCTTCTGTAGGTATTATGGGTGCAAGGACTCTACTGAGTGTATTTCTCCTGTCTCTTCCAGAGCAACCTCATGAACATTCCTTAAAACTTGCCCAGGAGCCATATGGGGCAGAGGTTGGGGATTAAGCATCTCCAGTTTGCCTAATGCATCACATTAAACCTGATCAATTCCTGTCTGGGTGATCCCGTATGAGGCATGCCCATGTTCTGTCTCTTTACCCCATGAGATTTTTTTTTTTAAAGCTTTATTGAGATAAACCATAAAGTTTAGATACTTTTTTAGAAACTTTAAGTTTAGATACTTTTTTTTTTTTTTTTGAGACAGAGCCTCAAGCTGTCCCCCTGGGTAGAGTGCCGTGGCATTACAGCTCACAGCAACCTCCA